GAAAAGACTTGAGAAGTAAGTTTATTCTTCATCATAAATTGAGGACTATAACTCCCTATATGGCATCTGGCAGGATGAGCTAGTAACACGTAAAGAGACCCCACTCGAGCAAAAGCTCGCCCTCATACAGACCTGATTCAAGGATGTTTCCTAGATGGTCTCTCAACCCCAAGTTCTTATAGTTTTGTGATGGGAACTAATCCTTCCTCTCCCTCCTGCCATGGAGGGCATAAGAATTCATTTACCGTAGTCTAGTCAGGGGAGACCCATACTTCCATTTGAATAAAGGGAGGAGTAGTTTGAACATATTGGTCGACAATCTAACCAGAAGGTATACCAATGGGTGTACCCAAGGTAGAAGCTTCCCTACTAGACGGGAGGTACTCGGGATATCGGTCAGAAGCGAAGTAAATCGAACCACCTCCCGAGTCATTGTATTGCTTTCTCATTCTTCATCGCATATGAACAACTAGCAAGAGAGACTTCAGAGGAAAGGTAGTTCATGCAAACGATTGAGTAAAACAAGATTTTAATGCCACTTACCGAAAATAGTCAACCTCGCCTTCTCTGGTTTAATATCCACCAACCAGTGGTATAGATGTACCTTTTCAGTCATTTTATTGATGCCGCGTCAGGTGGGACAATGTCACCAACATATGCAAGCTCTTTATAAAAGGTCGCCAGTTGGTTATTCAATTATAACTTTTCATATGATAGGTCCCCCTCCTTGTAAACATAGGATCTCGTCCCTGTCAAGATGTGACTTTGCCTCCAATACTTACGAAATAAATACATGCACACTATCTCTATGATTAAAAATCTAATAAAAACGAATGCATGTAAAATATGGAAAGCAAGCAAGCTAACCCACTATTGCCTTTGGAAGAAAACACCAACAATATAATAAATTTCTCAAGGAAGAAGGTAAGAGATTAAAGGTTCACTATCTTGGAAACCATAGGAAAAAGATAACTTAGGCAAAAGAAAAATGCTAAACTATGACTCAGAAGAAGAAGCAATGAAACATGCAAGACCAATACCAACGAACAAAATTGCATGAACTTGATCAAATGCTACAACAAGAGCGCTCATAGAGAAAAATTGACAAAGAAAACAAAAAGAACTCTTTTGCCTGTCACCAATCGTAAAAAAGGCGAACATGACACTTCAAAGACCTTTTATAACTTATTCGCCCATTAAGGGTTGTATGATCCACTGCGAACTACTATTGACTGAGATATCTAAATAAATGTTAAAAAACACTCAAGTGTTTTAAATGAGAGGAAACATTATTACCAACTAGCATAGGTAGAAGATCCAATTGTTCTCAGATAAATGATACCTCTTACAAGAAAGACATTTTCCAGCACCTATCTTATAGAGCAACAACGTCCCATAAAATCTTCCACGTTCACGAATTTCATGGTTGAGTAAGAGTACTTGTCACAAAGCCTCATCCTGTAAAGCAGAAACAATGTCTTGGGGGCAACTGTTCTGAGCTGCCCACATGACCCAAATAAGAAGGCCCAATAATGAAGGTATAAAACATTAAGTACATAATATGTTGATTATTTTTCCTCACTAAACAGGCAATCCCCGCACTAGCACCTAGCTAACTGTCCAATTAATGGTTGACCGCAATTCACGCCTCACTACACGTGTTTAGTTGCCAACCGTTTCTCTTATTTAAGAAGGAACACACATTATTTCTAAAGTATTCAAAGTCATTCTCATTCCTACATCACTTTTCACTCTCATACTAATGTGAGTGTTTAAATATTAACCTTGCATATCAACTCTCATTCCACTATATCAAAAATTCAAAACCACCACAACAAATTTTATATTAGCTAATGACCAACTCTAATTTTATCATAGAACAAAATTAATAAATATACATCTTCAGAATCATTTTTTAAATCTAAAAAAAATATATCATAATTGAAAATTTCCAAAAACGTGCTAAGACAAATAGAGAATTTATGAATACTATAATTTGGTACAATATTAATACTAGAATAGTATATTTACATTTTAAAAAGGAGTAGGTATGTATTGATTTATACTCTTGTCAAATTCTTGTAATAAAAAAGTATAAATGAAAATCTATTGATAGTAATAGGAACACGAATAATGAATCTGCATAATAATATAGTTAAATGTTAGCATCTTAGCTTCAACCATCTTGGATTTGGATGAGATTCGGTCATTTTTTAAAATAAAAGTATATTATCCTTCAGTCAAAAAAATAATAAAAAATAAAAATATAAACATGTTCATAAACAAATTACAATTAGCATGACTTTGATGTGGCTCGTTTGTATTTTTTTAAGTCTGAGAACTTTTTTCTTCTTCTATTTTGTATTTATTTAATTTTGCTAGTGTGACTTTTTTATATATATCTTGTATCAATCGTCTCATTTATAGTTTTGTTAAACTTTTTATCTTATACTAAATTTTATTTTACCTTTAAAAAAACATGATTTTGACCACAGATTTTAAAACATATTCTCGTATTTAGATAAACACTAGCAAAATAATATTTATTTTTAAAAAAAAACTGTTTTGTTATCTGTATAAACACTATATATATTTGGGTCTTGTGTATTAAACTTTCTATAATTATTTTCTATTTCGATTTATTATATGTTTAGTTAGATAATTATATAATTAGTTAATATATTATTGAATTATCATTAAATTTCTGTTGTGCATATGTACTTTAAGTACTATAATTTTTGAGATTGATTTTATATTATACACGTTAACAATGAAATTCACAAGAAATTATTGAATTTATTCTCCACTTATTTTTCAATATTCAATATGGTAACATATTGTTAAAAAGCTTTTTATTTTATTTTATAAATTCTATTTTCCCTTTCTTTCTCTTCCTTAGTCACACACCTTTTTTCTATTAGCTTTATAAATTTTTCCTTTCCTTTTCCTATCTATCAATGGCGGAAAATTCATATTACCTCTACCTCAATGAAAATTCATCGTTATCCTTGTTCAACAAAGTTAAATGTTTTTGAATTTTTACAGCATTACTTTTATTAATCTAACGGGTATTTTGTATCAAATAGCTTGGGCTGAATGCCCCCAACAAAACGATATTGTTGGAAAAAAAACACCAACATATATTCAATATTTTGAGATCCCTTTGTTTTTCAAACCCATCTATCTAAATTTGTTGGAAATTTCTATTTAGTATGCTCTTAGTTTGATCAATCAATTACCTCTTCCTACTATAAACAACAATGATTCTTTTTTAGAAGATTTATCCATTCCCTTCCAATTTTAAAAAAATATCAATTTTATCTCTGTATATTTTTTATTATATTATATTTTTCACTTTTTTATTTTTAGATTTTTGAAAATTTTACCAATCAAACCTACCGGAACACTTTCACAATGACTTCCGGTATGCTGTTTTTTCTAAATCGGAAGACTTTGGTAAGGAGTTCCGGTTTACACAAATTATGTACCGGAAGACTTTATTAAATACTTCCGGTTTGGGTTTTTTCGTAGAAGTTTACCGGAACACTTTTCTTAAGAGTTCTGGTACTTGTAAAAAGTGTACCGGAACACTTTTTACAAGTCTTCTGGTTTGCTAACGTTGACTACCAGAACTCTTTTCCTGAGTCTTCCGGTTTGCATTAGTATTTTTTTTTAATTTTTTTTTAAAATTTTTTTTAAAATTTTTTTTATACAGGTTCAGAAATTCTTTTACAAATATGCGATAAAGATCAGATATGCGTAGATACGTCTGATCTTTTTTCAACTACTCAAAGATTTGATACACGGGAAGAGGTGATAAGATGGATTAAAGAGATCGGAATCTGAAATAAAGTAACGGTTATCATCACTCGTTCAGATATTGAAACAGGCAAGAGAGGAAGAAGTAACAAATTAATATTTGGATGTGATAAAGGAGGAAAACACAAAGATATCGATAGTGGAACCCAGAGTGCGACGAAAAAATGTGGATGTCCATTTAAAATCAGATCAATTCCAGCGACTGATGGATCTGGATGGAAGGTTGGTGTAAAATGTGGAGTTCATAACCATGATTTACCTGATAGATTAAAAGGTCACGCATTTGTTGGTAGGTTGACAGCGGATCAGAAGCAACATGCTGTTGATTTGACAAAGAGAAGGGTTCCACCTAGACATATATTGCTTTCATTGCAAGAGCAAGATCCAGATAATGTCACTCGGATCACGCAAATATACAAGCAGAAGAGTATGATAGAAAAAAATATAAGAGGTCCTAGAAGTGAGATACAACATTTGTTTAAGCTTATTGAGGATGCAGGTTATGTTTATTGGAGTAGAAAAAGAGATGACTCTGAAGTTATTAGAGATATATTTTGGGCTCATCCAGATTCAGATAAGTTGTTGAATATTTTTCCTATTGTGTTAGTTATGGACAACACTTACAAGACAAACAAATATAGGCAACCTTTGTTTGAAATTGTTGGCATGACATCAACCGAGTTGACTTTTGCTGTCGCATTTGCCTATATTGAGTCTGAGCAGACTGAGACTTTTTGTTGGGTGCTAGATAAGCTTAAACAATTGTTTGTGAAGAAAGAGTTGTGTCCACAAGTGATTTTGACGTAAGTCCATTTTACAATAATTTATGTGGTTTAGTGTCTCGAGATGCATTGAGACGCATTGCTGAAGAGTTAAAACGAGTTGATTATGTTGGAACTAACAAGGAAATATGTCGTTGTACTCTTAGAACAACCTACGGATTACCTTGTGCTTGTGAGTTGACAGGATATAGAATTGATGGTATACCGGTACCAATAGATGTTGTGCATGTTCATTGGAGAAAACTAAGTATGGAAGTTAAGTTAGACGAAGACGTAGATGATGGATAAGAGGTGGATATGAGTAGTGCAGTAGATGAGTTATGGAAAAGGTTTAAGTCACTGGATGTTGTTGGGAAAAGGGCATTAAAAAGTAGGGTTTTTGAACTTGCCTTCCCCACAATGACTTCTATGTGTCCACCACCTGAGAAAATAAAAACTAAAGGGGGAGTCAAGAAAAAAGACAAAAAACCAGTAGGGTATGATGTTTATAAAGACCCTTCGTATCACGAGTATGTTGATCAAGCATCTCAATCTTCATAGAGGCAATCTCAACCATCACAAACTTCGAAGAATTTGAAATTATCATAGTCTTCACAAAAGAAATTTCAACCATCACAGGCTTCGAAGAAGTTGAAATTATCACAATCTTCACAGTCATCTAAGCAGTTCATCCTTCAGTTTCCTAATCACATCAGGTCATATATTGATGATGTAGTTAATGTTGTATCAGATGGTAATTGTGGATTTAGAGTCATTGCTTCATTGCATGGATATGATGAAGATGGTTGGCCAATGGTTCGTCGAGACTTGGGGTTGGAAATAATACATAATGAAAGATCAGGTTTGTATGCCAATTTATTTACTGATCAGTTAGCAGTAGTGAGAGAATCTTTGATGATAGAGGAATTTGGTCCTCAACCACCACATAAATGGTTAACTCTACCAGATATGGGTTACGTGATAGCGAATCGTTATAATGTTGTACTTGTCTGTTTAGGAATTGAATGCTGGACTTTCTTCCCTGTGACAACTTCATTTTCACCAAATGTATCAATTTACTGCATTGGTTTTGGAAACAGAAATCATTGGGTTCAGGTACTTAGTTGTTTTTAGATAATGCGATTAAACCTAATTCTTTTTCGTTATTTTTACTTAATATTTTGATTTTTTATTTATTTAGGTAAACATGAAAGAAGGGTTTCCATTGCCACGAGTGACAGTAGATTGGAAGAAGTTTCGTTCTCCAGCAGCAACATCTTGGATGCTAGGATTTGCAGGACGTCTACAACATTGGCAACAACTTACGCCTATATTACCAACGCATTATGAATTTATAAATTATGTTACTCATTTTTAATTTCAAAACATGAATCATGAATTATGTTATTCATTTTTAATTTCAAAACATGAATCATGAATAATGTTATTCATTTTTAATTTCAAAACATGAATCGTGAATTATGTTACTCATTTTTAATTTCAAAACATGAATCGTGAATTATGTTATTCCTTTTTTATTTCAGGCTACAAGTTAACACATAAACATAAACCAACTAGGTCAAATGAGTCTAAAAGTTAACACATAAACATAAAGCAACTAGGTCAAATGAGTCTAAAAGTTAACACATGAACATAAACCAATTAGGTCAAATGAGTCTAAAAGTTAACATATAACCATAAATATAAATATAAGTCACTGTGATCGAGCAATATGTAAAGCTTTGAACAAATCAGCAAACTGTGGGTCATCCTCTTCAGCACCAGCCTGTTGAAGATAACAATGAATCAATGAAGACATATGAGCCAATATAGGATCAGATGGTCCTGCTTCATATACAGGAACTGGCATCTCTGTTGTCGCATCACGATTGGGCGGTACCAGAAGAGGATGCAAAACACGATAATACCACTCAAGATATCCATCATCTGTCTCATATGGGGTGGTGGCCGATGTTGTCGGACGAATCACATCCTGAACGCTCTGATGGTAACTAATCCAGTCAACATCAATATCACCAGCCATCGTATAATCAAGAGGTGGATGTGGAACATACTGCCTGTATCCAAACTAACGCATACATATGTCAGACAAGTATGGAACAATAGTGTCACCCCACCTCATACACCCGCTATATAGACATAACTCATCAAACGGACGCCATACTCTATAATTCTCAAATGGGCGCCATATGACATCGGCAGGTGTCAGCTCGTCCAGAATAGGTCGCAAGTCATCCACCTTCAAGGCACCTTGCCTATAAGACCATCTCATCGCTCGAGGGAGACCCACATTATTAGCTGGTATCCAGTTCTCTCCTCTTTTTCCAAGTGTTGGAAAATACTCATGAATCCAGCACTGTTACAAAATTAATATGGTTACTAAATTTAAAATAATTAATTATAACATAATAAACTAGATAAATAAAATTAATATACTAGATAAAATTAATTAAAACAAAATATACTAAATTAAAATAAATACCTGTAGGACAGTCGGATAACCACCAAGCTGCTTACAACTGAACATTGAAGCATCTCCGAGATATCTATAAAGAATAACCAACGCAGCTGCTCCCCAACTGTATCCTGATAAGCCATCCAAGTCTATAAATAGTGAGAGGTATCGTGCTTCGACAAGCGTAAACGTCTTGTCCGCAAAAATAGTGGAACCCACTAACATCAGCAAATAAGCTCTATTGGCATAATCCCATCTAGATGCAGCTCTATGCTCTACAAATCGATCATGTAACCACTCCAACTTATAGTAGGAATCCCTACAGTCTCGGACTTGTTGTTGTGCTACTCTCTATGACATTCCTAAATAATCAACAGCCCACTCAACAGCAAGCGCCTCACTGATATCTTGAGGGCTCCAGAAGACTCCCCTGATGGGCAAGTGAAGCAGGCTAGATACGTCATCTAGAGTAATCTTCATCTCACCAAACGACATGTGAAATGAAGATGTCTCTAGATGCCATCTCTCTGCAAATGCGGAAACCAGGTTCGTGTCTATCTTTGTTAAACCGGTTCTCTAGAGTGAAGCTAGACTAGACTTAGATATCCAACCCTCCATCTCTCTGGGTAGCTGTAGTGGAACCCTCTGAATCAACTTCAACCCATGTCCCTCTACCTTTAACTCTTTTTTCGACCCTCTCTCCTGAAAATAATTAAAAGTAAATATATTATAAAATTCAATATTAAAAATTTGAATTTTATTCAATATTAAATAATTTTCGTTTACTTACCTCACCGAACCATATATGTCTAGCAACATGATGTTCGTACTTAACTAAAAGATAGGTATCATAGTGAAAGTAATAATAATTAGTGTAATATATTATTTTTCTACCTTGTAAAGATTCGAATCAATTCTTCATACATCCCTTTATCGATGCGCTCTTGAGCTTTAAAAAAACTACAAATATATCGTGAAATATCATATCAACAAAGAAATACATTCAAAACATGTGATTTGTTTGATTATAATCTGGTGTACTGAACCATAAATAAATGTATATCTGAAGAATGAAAATATTTTGTTTTAGTTCAGATTTGGTAAAACAACAACCGTGACTTATTTTTGAATTACACGGATTTATGGTAAAAAAAGAAAAACAATGGATTTAGTGAATATACATGGTTTTTTATTTACATAAAACAATAGTAAAAGTAAAACTTATGCATTCAAAAATATTCTATGGATAAACATTATTAAATGAATAAAATTAAAACTTGTCCATCCTTTGAGATATTATTTCTTTTTTCACCATTTTCCAAAGTTGTGTTTTATCTGTTATCACTGTGAATCCCCAACCGACAGAGTAAATTTTTAGACACTTGACCTATATTAGTAAGGATGATAAAATTGTTAGTCAAAGAGTGGTAAAAATACAACAAACATATTTTTTTTATACATGTTGCGAAAAAGGTAAATGCACCTTATTGTCTAGCTTGCCGATAGATGAAATTGTTTGTTCATCCTTCCATGTGTTCCATTTATCTTTAAAGTCCTCCATCTAAAATTTATTCCGTATAAGAATAGTGAGAATAAGTATGATCCAATTGATTGATTATAATTAAAAGTATAAAATAAAGGATTAAGTATAGCTTACCTTTATGTCGAAGCAAGTTTCAACATTCTTCCGTCTCAGCTCCTTACATAATTGGAAGACTTCATTGTGTTCTAGTTTGGCTGTATATCAAAGCCACATAATTTTATACTTAGTTATACTTAGTTTTATCATATAAAGAATACAATATAATATTGGTATTTCGTGTACAAAAGGGAATCGATGTGTGAGATTATTTATTTAATGTACGTAATGATACTTGCGAGTGCGATAAAAGAATTTATTTAAAGACTACATTTTTTGTGTAATCACCATCTTCTCCTTCCAATTTTCCTTCCTTGGATAAAACTTTTGTTGTAGTCTGTGAAACACCTCTGGATAAAGCCACATATAACTGTCCATGACTGGAAACATGTCGTGGAAGATATATACCAACATTTGGGATGGTATGTCCTTGTGACTTATTTATTGTAATTGCAAAACTTAATCGCACAGAAAATTGCTTTCTACTAAAGACAAAGGCAACCCATCACTGGCCGATGTTTTTATTTTAATTCTGGGCAAGAAAGCTCGTCTTCCTGCGTTGTTTCCTATCAAGATTTCCACATCCAACATATTCATATATAACCCACGACATAATAACCGCGTCCCATTACACAATCCATATCTAGGATCTAGATTTCGCAACAACATCAATGGTGCACCCTTTTTTATCTTTAGAATATGCGGTGCATAATTTTTAGTTTTATGTCACTTGAGTATAAGCTACATTATTTGGCAGAAAAATGTTTATGAACATACCTTGAGGACGACATGATGCACCATCATTTATGACTTCCATGTTAACATCTGATATTACTGCATCCTAAAAAGTTTCATCAACATCCATATCGCCTGATACAAAAATAATAATTAACATATATATATATATATATATATATATATATATATATATATATATATATATATATATATATATATATATATATATATATATATATATATATATATATATATATATATATATATATATATATATATATATATATATATATATATATATATATATATATATATATATATATATATATGTGTGTGTGTGTGTGTGTGTGTGTGTGTGTGTGTGTGTGTGTGTTGAAATTACTACTCGTATATGTTGAACAATATCTTGTATATCTGTAGCAGAGTGACTATTGTTGATACGTTGGTTAGGTAATGTGAAATTATGATCTGCGGGTTTAAATACATGAAGTGAGAAATGACAAATAAACAATATTATACAAAGTACGATTATAATGTCTATATTGATCATCACCAACCAAGTGCAACATCATTAACATGTGTAATTCTACTTGAGCCGGCTTCATTATCATGAGTTCCTTGAAAGTGTGATATTGGAGATCTCATATTTGTAAAATTTTGAATGGAACTCTCCTCCGACTGTTCATAGTGCGAGATGTTTGAGCTTGTTTATCTTGCTCTTTTCACCGCCTATAATTGTCATGTTGTATCGATAAATAATTTTCTCTTTGTTCGAGGTTCATATTTTGTCTCATCTTCCTTTCATTTTCGGCCCTTCTTGCCCTTTGTTGTTGACTTGATATCTGACGGGTATTATTTTCCATTTTGTTAATGTAACTGCCAAACACATATGCAATTTATAAGCAACACAATTTCACTAATTATGTTGAAAAATATTGGTAAATATAGACGGGATTTAAAATAAATATATTTGTTTTTGGAAAAAAGAAGTTTACACCAAAAAGTATTATTTGTACAACATATGTTAAAAATATAAATCAAAATTAAAATATAAAAAAGACGAAGAAGAAATGGGCAATCAATAAAAAAAAACATAAATTATGTTGGACAAATAGATGAACAGATTGCATATTAACTAAACATTAAAATATAAATGGGGTAAGAAATGAAATTAGTGTAACTTAATTATATGATAAACTACTACTACAAAAAAAATTATATGAAAAACTGAGTTAATTTAAGTTATAGATAAAAAAAAGATATATTAATTAAAAAAATAATGAGAAAAGATAGTGTTCCAGTAAAGGGAGTTTAATATATTTCAGTGTGTTACAGTTGCTCCTTGTAGGTTCATAGTAATATTTCTATGTTACTCCAAATTATTTTGTATTTTAGTTAACTCATAATGTTAGTGCATCTATATTAAATATTTCTAAAAGGATATTATCTATACGGGAGTTTAAAATATATTCTTGAGCAGTGTAATTGAGTGCACGATAGCATGTGTTCCATTAACATCTCTATC